ATCTTATGACCCCTTTAAGGTTTTTCTAGATATTTCGACTTGAAAACAAGTTAAAAAAGGCTAATTAACTTTGGTTATGCAGTATTTATGCAGTATGAGTGTCACAGCATGGATGCTAACCGTTATGTCACAAACTCTGAGAGAACAGAAGCTTTTGTAGAGAAAACCTGAGCTTCATTTCTTTCTGCTGCTGTTTAGCCAGTAAATCGTTGTGTTTGCCAGGAAATCGATACTGTTATCGACTGTTCACAGAAGATGTCAACTTTCCAAATCTGGTGAAATGTTTCAGCTAACATGCTAATGGCTGAGAATCTTTGATTATTTTAAGTTGACCTTTTGGCCAATTTTTATTAATAATACAGTAGAAAAAGGACAGGAAAAGAAGGATGAAAAGAAACAGCAAACATCACGATCCGCCTGTCTGATCACCACAGCCCATTGTTTCAAAGTGTGCATGCTAACGCTTTTAATTTTTTATTGTTTTATTGAGTCGATTTATACTCTACTTACATTTTGGCAGTCACTTGGTAGAAGCTAGTCACATTGGTCACAGATTTCAACATGGACAGGCTTGTGACATACTATCTTCAAAACATTAATAATGCTAATATTAATAAAATATTAATAAGAATAATGTTAATATATATAATATTAAAAGGATAGTCCACCTAAAAATGAAAATTCTGTCATTATTTACTCTCATGTCATTCCAAACCTATATGATTTTATTTTTATTTTTTCCCCTGTGGAACTTAAAAGAAGATATGTTTTAACCAAACATATTCGGTTCCCATTGACTTTCATTAAACAAAAAGTACAATGAATGTCAATGGGAACCAAAATTTGGTTACCAACATTCAGCTTCAAAATATCTAAGTTCCACAAAAGAAAGGAAGTCACAGGTTTGGAACAACATGAGGGTGAATAAATTATTTTCATTTCATTTTTGGGTGAACTATTCCTTAATATTAATAGTGTTAATACAAGTTTGATTTACTACAGTAACAACTTTGGCACTTGTTGTCCAATGTAAAATCAAAGTCCTAAAAGAAAAAGCCAAAGCTCTGCAAGAAGCTGTTTCACATTATTCTGTTGTTTAGTCTATATTTGTTTTGAAATTGAAAACTGTTGGCGACTATCTACATAAGATATACATTTTTGTAGCAGAGGAGAAATGTATTCCAGATCGTTTCGTCCTGACATGCTAATATCCGTTCTATCTCTTTCTTTTTGAAGCCCTGAACTGTTTTGAGATGTTTTCATCTCAGTGTGTTGTGAATGTTTGCTACTATGCTGCACTGTAAGCTATTACAATCTGTCCCCTGGTGTGGCAGCCATGCAGTATACAAACCGACTGCTGACTCCACAACACAGAATAAAGAAACTCCACATTCAGCTCAGTAATGAGCATGACGCATTCATCTTTAATTTAGGAACAATTCCGCTTTGGTTCCTTTCCTGCCCAGTAGTTTCTTTCCATATGGAACATATTATTTGTGTTTCAGAAAGCATTGCATAACTGAAGAAAGGAAACGTAGAGCACAGGACAGCGAGAGCCAGAGCGGTTAAGACATCGTGTATTAAGATGTAGTGTGGAGCTGCTGCACACAATGAAGTTATTCTGACAGCTGGACTAAAACCACCAAAAGACATTGATTCTGAACTTCAAATTCAATCTGTCCTCCATCTGTGATCTGCCTCTCTCTCTCTTTCTCTTATCCTGCCGTTCTCCGTCTGATCTGAGAGCTGTGTTCATTGCATAAGATATCTGTCAATCTAACACCACTAATGTCCTGCTGTGCCTCAATCTCTGAAAGGAATATTCAGTATTATTTTCAACTTCAGACCTTCAAAATGTCTACGCCACTGTTTTCAATAACAACAAAAGCATATGTGACCTGCTTCGCCATTTTGAGTCTCTTAGATTTTGACAAAAAAAAGCAAAGTCTCAGCTTTCAAATTCTATTAAGATTACAATTGTACATTTACACTCCCAAACATTGTTGAGATTTAATATTAGAAATGTCAGAAAACTGCATTTTGGAGAAAATTACCTTTAAAAAATTCCAAACAATTCTTTAAGAATTATCTGACAGAATTAGCAGATATAATATAATATAATATAATATAATATAATATAATATAATAATTTTTGTGCCGGTAAACATGTTAACTATG